TGCACATTGACCGTTTTTTTTTTTTTTTTTTGGTATAGGGGATCAAACTCAGGTCCTTGTGCTTCTGAGGCAGGCAGCAGAACACTGAGCTAAATCCTGTTTCAGCCATACTCTTAAGTGAAATAAATAGGATACACATGTGTAAATACTGAATCATTTCTCTGGTGTGAGAAACTGAAAGTATAAATAAGAATCAAAATGTGTAACAGATCATGTGAAACAGGAAGAAAAGGTCTAAAAGGAAGAGCAAGTAGGAAAAGTAGGGTAAAGGAAAAAATATGAGAAAAGGAAAAACTGGAATCAGAGTCTTTGTAAATAGGGAAGGGTGGAGCGGTTGGGGGGGGCAGGGGGATGGGGAACCAAGATATATTATATAAAGGTATAAATTCCCAGTGATGAATGTCATATTGTATACCTAAAGTGTACCAATAAACTTAATGAATAATAATAATAAAGCCGGGGATTTAGCTCAGTGGTTCTGCCACCTGCCTTGCAAACGCAAGGATCTGAGTTCGATCCCCTGTACCGAAAAAAATAATAATAAAAAAGGCAGAGACTGGTTCCTGCTCAGTGGTCCCCAGTGCTCTACCACGTGCCTGGTTAGGAGGGGGGAGCTCAGAGAGCACGCGCGGAGGAAGTGATGGCCCGGGGACCGGTTTACACACACACACACACACACACACACCACACACGTACACAGGAGGCTGGTTCAGGGGGAGCAGAGGCAGCTGCCTTTATTGGGGGCCATAGGCTGGCTGGCTTCACTCAAAGGCCACGCACTTGATCTTGAAGTCGCCATCAGCTGCCAAGTAGTTGATGGCCTCCAGGTTAAGACGGTTGGGGAACTTGAATTCATGTCCATCTGGCAGCTTGATGGTTAGATCGGTCTGGTCGAAGGAGACGCAGATCTGGTGGGGGGAGAGGACAGTGAGCAGGGCCCTTCTTTACGGGGCCCCAGCAGCAGACGGGGTGGTTCGGAGGGGGGCACTCATGTGACCCTACCCCGAGGGGAAGAGGGTGGCAGGGAAATCTCCAGCCAGGAAACCCGGCTTCACCACTGACCGCCCTGGGGCGCCGTGGCCGCCCACCTCCAGGCCCCGCCCACCTCCAGGCTCGCGATGCTCCGCCCCCCAGGCGCCGCCGTCCTTGCTGTTGCACACGATGGTGTTGGTGTCCCCGTGCGCGTTGAAGCGAGGGTTGAAGTGCAGGCACAGGTTGTTGTTGTCTTTGCCCAGGTTCAGCACGAAACTAGGAGGGACACGTGGGCTCGGAGCCGGCTCAGTCAGCTCCAGGACCCGAGCAGAGCGGACCGGTCTGCCACTCAGGACACGGTGAGTGGAGTGGACCTCGCAGAGACTCATCAGCAGGTGACCAGAAGCCTGGATTCTAGTTCCAGCCCTGCAACCTCCTTGCTGTGTGACCTTGAACTAGTCCCTGCCCCTCTCTGGGCCTCAGTTTCCCCACCTGTACAACGAGGGCTGCATAGGAAGGATGTCGAAGGGTCTTGTGTTGAATTAGTGTCCTAGCCCCTTTTGTCAAAGTCAGGGACTCCCTCCAGATGGTGACCGCTGGAAATGTAAGGGTCCTGTCTGACTTGTTTTAGACAAGGTCTCGCTATGTGTTTCAGGCTGGCCTTGAACTTGAGACGATCCTCCTGCCTCAGCCTCCTGAGTGCTGGAATTACAGGCATGTGCCACCATGCCTGGCTGTGTCCTGTCTTGTACACTTCTGAATCCCTGGTGCCCAGATGGACACACACTGGCCGCTCAATCAACATGGGATGAATGAATGAATAATATTATTATATATTCGCAATATAATATAATAAATTTGTGGAGTAGAGCTTTTAGTGACGCCTACTTCCCTTCGAGGGATTGCGAAGAAATGAGAATGGGCAGCTGGTAATGACCAGCGGATCAGCATCAATTTCATGACCCAACAGTTCCGCTTATTAAGAAACTGAGGCTCGGTGAGGTTGGCTGACTCATCTAAGGTCAGATGGCGGCTAAGGAACCAGGCCAGCTGAATGAATAATGAGCACGAGAGGACTGGGATTTCAGGGAGAGGCCGCGGTCCCCGCCCCCCTCTCGCCGTTTCCCCCTCCCCAGCTTTGGCCCCGCCCCAGCCGGAAGGGGCGGGGCAAGCCGAGGTGGTCAGCGCTGCCCCAGCTGGTTCGGTTTAAGATGCTCCAGCGCGGAGGGAGGGAGCAACGGTGGTGAGGGCGCCAGGGCCAGCGCAGGAAGTGACTCACCCAGAAAACGAAGCATCGGCAGCTGGCCATTAACCCCCTCCCCGCGGCGAGGGGCGGTTTTGGCGGCCAAGCGCTTTCCAGTTCCCCACCCGCCCCAGCCACCCGTCCCTTACCTCTTGGCGTCGGGGGCCACCTCGCCCCGCACTCGGAGGCACTCCCCAGGCTTGAGGTTCAGGTTGCTGGCGACCAGACCCTGCGCAGACGAGACCCGCCCGCCCAGCTGGGTTAGGAGGACGTGGCCTTCTGGGCCTGTGGTGTCCCGGGGTGGTGGCGGGTGGGAAAGGTGGTTCGAACCCTGGGTCCTTAGACCAGGCAGGAGGTGAGTCGGGACAGGACAGGGTGCAAGATCTAGGCTTTGATTATCCCGGTGACCCTGGGAAGTTCCCTGTTCCCAGCATGGTCTGTTTCAGAGTGAAACAGGAGAGCTGTTCCAGGAGTTGGGCTCCAATTAGGACTGTTTGCCCATCTGCTTGTGGATTCAGTCTCGCATGGCTTGGGAGGCGGGGTGCAGTGCACCACGGCCTCCTATTGCTGATGGAGAGCTCCTGGGAGCATCGGGCAGCCACATCCCCCAGGTCTTGCTGAGCAGATGGGCTGCCCCTTTCCTGCTCTGTAAGTGGCCTGGGACCCCTCGACCTCACCCATCTCTGCAGACAGGCACAGGGCTGGAGATGACACGCTGAGGGACACAGCCATGGCCCTCTGCACAAGGGAGAGCAGCCAGAGGTCAGGACCGGGCCAGGGTGGCTCAGGACTAACAAGATGGCAGGACTGGCCACTGCACCACCCGTCCCTGGCCTGCGAGGTTGGGCAGGCGTTAACTGGTATGCGTGGTTCCTTCTGCAAGAAACTTGCTTGCAGGAGACTCTTGCCTCCCTACACACGCGCGTGCGCGCACACATCCTGCCCAGACCCCATGGAACCTGTCTGGACAGAACCAACCTCCACCCCTGACCCAGGCAGCCTCTCCCGGGGAGCCTGTCCCCAGCGCCGGGGACTCCTTGGAGTCCTCTGGGGCAGAGAGTGACTTGGCCCTGGCCCTGAGAGTGCAGACAGCTGCAGCGGGGGAGGGGATAGGAGGCTCTGTGGCGTGGAGGAGGGGAAGGGACGGTGGCCTGGGCCGAAGAACCCCCTCCCGTTGGCCACACCCTTCCCACTCCCACTTCTCAGACAGCTGCAGAACTGCAGAATGCTGGGCCTTGCAGAAGTAATTGTGCTGTCAGACTCTGGAGTCCAGAAAATTCCTAAGCCAGAGAAAGTTTTGGGGGACCATGGCCCCCAACCCCATCTTGCAGGTGTGGCCACTGAGGATCAGGAAAGAAAAGGCTACACAGCAAAGACTAGAACCTGGCACCGGTGCTGCCCCTCTCCTTCCCGGCCGTTAGCTCCCGCCCTGTCCCCTGGGCTTTGGGGTGGGGTCCCCACACTTACACAAGCCATAATTGAGGCCAAGAGGATGTTCCGGGACTGCTGCACCAGTTGTCTGAGGACTCCACCCGATAGATGGGCCCCCAGCGTCTCCCACCCTTTTAACTGGACCAGACCTGGTAAGTCCCGCCCTCTGGAAACCCAGCCAATTGTAAGTCAGGACAGGGCCGGGGGGGCCACCGGAGGCGGAGTCAGTGGAATGTTGAAGCCAGTTCTGGAGTAAAGGTGACCAATCAGAATGGCGAGAACCTCCCTCTCACCTAGCCACGCCCCCAGAACCCAAACACCACCTCCCATTCTCCATCCCTCTCCCCAACCTAAAAACAAAAAACCTAAAATTTATGCCGTGGCAGAGATTGGGGGAAGCCAGTGGAAAATAGTTTGAGGATGAGCTAGGCCTGGAGTTGGCGGGAAGAGGCCTGGGGCCAGGAGGCTTGGGGGTGGTGCCCAGAGGGACAGCTGAGGGGGTGCAGAATCTTGAGGAATTAGAAGGGAGTAGGAGAGGATTCTCCCTGGCGGGGACCAGGGTGTGGCTCCACTGCGGGCCTCTGCAGAAGGCTAAGGACCCGTTACCACAAGGCTCGGCCCCACCCGGCCTTCCCCGGAAGCAGAGACTGAGTCTCTTGATGCTGTGCTTGCTAGGGCTAAAGAAAGGCTGGGCAGGGTGCCAGGCGAGAGGCTGCCGCCAGGCTGGAGTCTCCGGCCGCACTCCCCCACAGGCCTCCTGGGACTCTTAGAGCCGCGCCTGATATCCTCTGCCCATCTGAGAGGGTCAGGCCTGGGAGGCAGTGAGGTTGGGCCAAGAGGACTGGGTTCCTGGCTCTGGGTACCCCGTCCAGGCCCACCGCATTCTCCCTTTCTGAGGCCAGGAACTTCCTTCCTTTCCCCACCTGTCCCACAGATATTCTCTGTGCCTGATCCCGGGCTGCCTCAGGGGGTTCGGAGACGTATGTACATGTCCTGGTCCCTGCTCTCCAGGAATCTTGACCATGAACCTAATTAAAAAGTAGCACGTGGGTTCCGGGGATGTAGCTTGATGGTGCCACATCTGCCTGGCGAGCACAAGGTTCTGAGTTCAATTTCTGGTACTGAAAAAAGAAGGAGAAGAAACTGGGCATGGTGGTGCACGCCTATAATCCCAACACTCAGGGAGGCTGAGGCAGAAGGGCCTGGGCAATTTAGTGAAACCTTGTTTCACAATTTAAAAAAAAGGGGGGTGGGGGCTGAAGATGTAGCCCAGATGCCCTGGGTTCAATATCTAGTTAAAAATTTTAAAAAGTAGCATAGCAACAGCTCTAAGGGAGGTCATGCCCTAGCCTGGTGGCAGCAGGGACGCTGCGGAATGTGAAGGTGGAGAAGGACCAGCAAAGAAGAGATGGTGTTGCAACTTGGGTAAAAGCTCAAACACAAGGCACAGGCGTGGAGCAGGGAGCCTCTGGGCACCTAGGGAAAGACGGTGCTAAGTCCTTGGATCCTGAAGCAGCCTCCAGGAGCAGGGAAAGAGCTTGGGCATTTATCACCTGAGTGAGTACCGAGGCCAGATGTGGGCTGCAGGGAGTCGAGGGTGGCTAGATTAATGCTCCCCCCACACTCGGGAGCGAGGCGGAGTGAGGGGCGGCTGGGGAAGCTGTCGTGTACCCTTCTGAAACTGCCAGCTCTGGAGCGGCAGAAGCTGCAGACCAACGTGAGCCACATCTGGGGGCCAGGTCGGCCAACCTGTCCTGCTCCCCTCCCTCTCCATCCCACAGGCCCCTCCCCTGACTGAAGACCCTGGCACAGGATGAGAGGGAAGCCCCTTCCCCTCCTCCCACCCCAGTGGCTGCCTGGGAAACCAACCACAGCAGCTTCACTTCTTCCTGCCGAGCCTCCCCAAAACCTCAGGCCTGGGGAGGTGTGGGTGGGGCCCAGCCCAGCTCTACCTCCCTGCCTTGCCCTGCTCTGCGGGGCTGCCCCGGCTAGATCGGGACCACGCCATTCAGAGGAGCTGCACACCCGTTCCTCACTGGCCCGCCAGAGTGGCAGCCCTGGGGGAGAGGGACAGCAGTCTCCTCCGCTGGGTCTCCTGCCTAGGCTGGAGAGGGCACCCTGGCATGGGAACGGGTCCCCAGCAAGCAAACCTCCCCCCAGCTGGAGACTTGGCTCTGCATCTGGCCCTGCTATCCACGCTGCTCTTGTGTACCTGCTGGCTCAGTCTCCCCATCTGCAATTGGGCAGGTGAACTCTTGCTTTCTTGCACATACCTGGGATATGTGGTACTAAACAGGTGATGAATGTTTTCATGGACTCCGGGTTTTGTCTCCTTTCCTATAGTGGGGATAGAACCTACGGTGTTCATATTGGTGTGCAACCCTTTTTTTGTTGTTCTTTTGAGACAAGGTTTTGCTATGTGGCTAAATTGCCCAGGCTAGGCTCAAACTTGGAATTCTCCTGCCTTAGCCTCCCAGAGTGCTGGAATTACAGGCATGTGCCATCATAGAAGGCTTAGACATCAGGTTTTAACCTCTCTTTGCCCTTCTCCCAGGTTGTTATTACTTTTTGAGGGTGTGGCAGCCTCTCTTAAAGGATTTGCCTCCTCCCACTGGCCCTTAACACCCCCCTCTTGCTTAGGCTAGGGCAGAATCTTCCCAGATTCCAGCACAACCTAAAACAGAACGAAGGAGGTCTCAGGGCCCCCTAGTAGTGGCACCCACTTAGATAAGGCCCTGTGCCTGGCGCCTTCCTGTCATACTTTATCTGTGTCACCCCAGCACCCCTGCTGGGTGTCTGCCCGCAGGGTTGAGTGTCTCATGGGAAGGGCAGCTGCAGCCAGCATGGGACCTGGAGGCCGGTTGGTTCTGATTTGGGAGCTGCGAGGCCCTTGACTTCCCTGCCTCTGTCTCTGGGCCTGGAAGGTGGGATGAGTCACTGCCTGGCTGCTGCCCAGAGTGATAGGTGTGATGTGAGGATGTGGGAAAATGTGTGCCTCCCTCCTGTGTCTCCTAGGGCCAAGGTCCCTGTGCCAGGGATTCTGGGATTCTCTTCCCCTCGCTCCTGTTCACGGCGCTCACAGCTCTGAATTCCTTGTCTTCAGTGTGGGCCTGGGCTGCTGCTGACTCAGAGGTCCTGCTTGTCCAGGCTCCCACCCTGCCCGGATGGACAACGCCTCTGTGTCTGGCACTGGTGGGAGGCTGTGGGCCCAAGGAGGTGCCATCCACACCCCTAGATGTCAGAGCAGAGGCCTCGGAGGGAGATAAACTCTGCCTGACCTGCTCCCCCTCTCAATGACACAGAAACCACCCCAGGGAGTCACTGGACCGAGGGTGCAGGGGGAGCTGGGGCCAAAGCCTTTCATCTGTGAGCCAAGCAAAGAAGGGGGAGGCAGGGCTGGTGCCTGAACCTCGGCACTGGCTTCAGCTTCCTCGTGGGCTGGACGGCCCCCAACCTCAGACACTTTTCTGAACGCTCTGTGATGCAGTCTCACTCATTATGCTACCCTATCCCCACCTCTGCTGTGGCCCAGGTCGTTCAGCCTGCACCTGCACAGTAGCTCCCACCCACTGTGGGCTTCCTGCCCTTCACCTCCGGGCTGGGGTTCATCTCCCTCGGTCAGAGCCCCCAGCCCTTCCCTGGGGAGCGGCCCCTCCTATCACATAAACTCTGGGTGGGACCCAGACCTCTTTCTCCAATAGTGCTCCAAGGCTCAAGCTGAGCTTTTTAACTTGTTTGCTTGTTTTTGGTTCTGAGAATCAAACTCAGGACCTTGGGCTTGCCAGGCAGCCGGTAGCACCACTGAGCTAAATCCCTGGTCCTTAAATGTTTTAAACACTTTATTTTGAAATTAATTAGACTCACAGGAAGGTAAGCTTTTTAAGAGCTCAGAAAATATTTGAGACCTGAAGAAAAGTCTGGGTTTGCTCTTAAGTACTAACACTGCAAAGCTGAAATTTATAAAGGTTTACTGTGCTCAAGGATAGTCAAAAATTTCATTACATTTGAAAACTCTGTAGGTTATATTTTTCTTCTCTTTTTCTTCTTTTCTTTTCTTTTTCACTATGTAGTCTGGGCTAACCTCAAACTTGTGATCCTTCTGCCTCAGCCTCCCATGCTGAGACTATAAGTATGTGCCACCACACCCAATGAGGGTTATTCTTACTTGGAAAGTGTTGCCTACAGGGCTGGGGATTTGGCTTAGTGGTCTCTCTGCCTGCCTCACAAGTGCAAGGGCCCAAGTTCGATTCCCCGGTACCAAAAAAAAGGCATTTCCTACAAATATCCAATAAATATATGAAAAAATGTTCACCATCCCTTTTCATTAGAGAAATGTAAATTGAAACAACACTGCAATTCCATCTTACTCCAGAAAGAATGGCCACCATCAAGAAATCAAGTGGGGCCGGGGATTTAGCTCAGTGGTGCCACCGCCTGCCGCACAAGCCCAAAGTCCTGAATTTGATCCTGGGTACCAAAGGAAAATAAAAATTACCAAACACTGGGATTAAAGGTGCACCCAGCCTGAATAATAGCCAAGCCTTGAAAGCAGCCTATAAACCAAAGAATATGTGGTATTTATACAGATGGAATACTACTCTGCCGTACAGAAGGGTAAATTTGAGTCACTTATAGGAAAATGAATTTACCTTAAGACCATAATATTAAGTAAAATAAATCATAATCAGATACATAAACATAAATATTGCATGGTTTCTCTTACACAAGAAACTCAAAATGTAAATAAAGAGCAAAATATAAGATAGATGATAGGAAACAGAAAGATATATCTCCTGCAAATAGGAAGAGGAATAAAAGATGGGGAGGAAGAGACTGAAAAAGGAATTAAGATGTGTCACGTATATATATCAACTCCTGTGATGAATGTAATATACATAGTCCTAGCTCTTGGGAGGCTGAGGCAGGAGGACTGCTGATACATAGTAAGTTCAAGGCCATACTGGAATACATAGTGAGACCCCATCTCAAACAAAACAAACAAAACACACACAAAAAAACAAAGCCTGATATGGTGGCATTTGTAATCCCAGTATTCAAGAGGCTGAGGCAGGAGGGGTGCTATGAGTCTGAGGGCAGCCTGAGCTACACAGTGCGCTCAAGGCCAGGTCTCACTACATATGGAGATCCTCAAAACATGATACAGCACTTGCCTTATGTGTGTGAGGCCCTAATTTCAATTCCTAGCATTACAAAACACAAAAAACAACCAAAACCAAGACCCTGTAAACTTTAGGGTTCCTCTCTCGATTTCAGTCATCAGAAACCTCACCAGAAACAACTTATTTCCAATATGCTCAATTCTATGAGAGAAAACTTTGGTGTTACTTTATGCTTGAAAATACAATAGTTTTTATTTATTTATCTTTGTGCCAGGGATTGAACTTGGGACCTTCCGCTTGCAGGTCAGGCAGTGGCAGCACTGAGCTAACTCCCTGGCCCCACTTGATTTCTTGATGGTGGCCATTCTTTTTAATATGAAAAAATAAGTATCTGACAGATGTACAAATATTATATTTTAATTTTATCTTTTTTTTTTTTTTTTTTTTTTTTTTGTACTGGGGATGGAAATCAGATCCTTGTGCTTGTGATGCAGGCGGCGGAACCACTGAGCTAAATCCCCGGCCCACTTTTATCTATTTTTGAGACAGTCTCACTAGGCAGTCCAGGCTAGCCTTGAACTTGCTACGTACCCCAGGCTGCTCTCAGCCTGTGGCAGTCCTCCTGCCTCAGCCTCCTGAGTGCTGGGACTACAGATGTATCCCACTATACCCAGTGTGTTTCAATTTTAAAAAGCATTATAGACATATCTTTAATGCAGGATGGGATATGTTCTGGCACTTTTGTTATTGCTGTTTGCAATACTGGGGATTGAACCTAGGGCTCTGTACACAGCAAGCCAAGTGCTCTGCCTCTGAACAAGAACTTGAGTTTTTTTGTTTTTGGTACTAGGGAACAAACTTGGGACCTTGCGCTTTCAAGGCAGGTGGTGGAACCACTGAGCTAATTCCCCAGCCCGAGCTCTTAAGTGTTTTTTTCTTTTTTTGTTGTTAGTACTGGGGAGTCCAACTTGAGATCTTGTGCTTGTAAGACTGGCAGGTGCATCAGAGCTAAATCCCTGGCTCTTTCAAGTGTTTTCTATGCTATGCTTGGTGCATGTGTTTGAAGGTTTGTGGCTGCAAGAAACAGAAAATGTGGCAGAAATTGCTTTAAAATTAAGGAAAGCTAGTGGTGTAAAATTAAGGAAAGGCGTAGTGTTGTATGCTGTGACCTCCACTAAGGAGGTGGAGGCAGGAGAACTCTGAGTTCAAGGCCAGGTTGGGCAAGCGAGCAGCCGTACCTCAGTTTATGAACTTAATTCTTCCCACCATTCTGGTTGTGCACTGAATTGGACAAGAACCGAATCATATTTCCCCATAAGGTCAACAATGAATCTAATCACTGAATTTCATTCAACTCTCATCCAATTTGGTTCATGTCCAGAATCACGGAAAGAACTAAGCTCCTGAGCCAAGGTACTACTATATGGTCCTGTCTCAAAATAACCAAGGGCTGGGAAGTGGCTCAGTGGTAGAGCACTTGCCTAGCATGTGTGAGGTCCTGGGTTCTATCCCCAGCACCACTGAAACACACACACACACAAAAGGAAAGCTTTCACATAGTAAATCCGGATCTTCTGGGTTTACAGGGCAGGGCCAGTCAGCAGTCAATGGAAGCATGAATGCTGGTTCTTGGGTAGGGATGGATTGTAGCCATGCAGCCAGCTGGTCCTTGTTTTTGAGATACAAACTGAAGATCTAGGGGAAAACTGCGAACTTCTGTCACACGGTTCATGTATAGATAAGGAGCTATTCAGCAAACTGTGCAAACTGCTGAAACTTCATAAGGGAGATCTAAGTGTTCGTTTTATCAGTCTGCCCCCCACCCCCAGACCAGGGTCTGTCTCACTTTGTAGTGCAGGCTGGCCTTGAACTCATGGTAACCTTTCTGCCCTAGTCTCCCGAGTGTGCGCCTTACAGGTGTGCGCCACCATGCCTGGCTCATTGTATCCTTCTTTCTCCTTGGTGGGGAGACTGAGACAGGGTCTCACTGTGTAACCTGGCCTGGCCTCTAACGTGTGATTTTCCGAGGGCTGGCAACACCCAGCTCTGAAACCCGAGCTGTTTTGCATGGACCCATGGTTTGTGCGTGCTAGGAAGTGCACTACCACTGAGCTCAGTCCTTAGCGCCGATATCCTTTAAAAATGAAACCTCCCCAGAAGCTCCCATCAGACCATTCTTATGTCGTATTACTCATCTTTTCTGGTCTAAACACTAGCCATATATTTTTATCATACCTCACTGATCAAACATTTATGGCAACTTCTGTCAAATAAAAATATATGGGGGGCCAGGGATGTAGCTCGGTAGCCCCGCACCTGCTTGCTTCCCAAGTACAGGCTACTGAGGTCCCGAGTTCGATCCCCGGTACCAAAAAGAAGTTATGGTTAAGTCCTCATTCATCTTATTCACTGGATCTGGGACCGTGACTTCCCCAAAGTCAAAATGACCAAAAAAGGTAATTCCCCCCCGCTCTTGGTACCAGGGGTTGAGCTCAGGGCCTTGCACTTGCTAGGCAGGCATGGGGCCACTAAGCTACATCCCCACCCCCTTTTAAAAGAGGCTTTAGTCTTTTTTTTTTTTTTTTTCTCTT